GAAAAGCCTGGGAGAATCAGTTTTACGCACAGGAATTCCAGGTCTTGTTGAACCTGGACCATGAAATGTTCCGACGTGAAGTTTGAGTCCACTGCAATAAGGACCCCACCTCCACGTCGAGACAAACGGTCATTTCTAAAAATTGTGTACCGACCTGCCAAAACTTCGGAACTAAGGATGTCCGGCTTTAACCAGGTCTCGGTGAACACAATAACGTGGGATGAGAATGCGAGACTCTCAAGGAAAAGAGTGCTGAGCTTACTACGCAAGCCTCTAGCATTCTGGTAGGTAACTAAAAAAGAGGAAGTTAGTTTTTTGGATGGGTGGAAGTAGAGGTGGAATATGAGGATGGAGATGGAGCACTGGTCTGAATGCTAGGAAGAGTAATGGGGGCATATTCTTTTTCTTAGCCTTAAACTCTTTAACCACCAAATGCTCTGGCCAAAACTTGGCGGAACAAATGGTTTCAAATTGAGTTGGGGAGACGCTTATCTTGAAGGAAGATATCTCCCTGGCGTAAGAAAAGTTAAATTTTTCCACCTTTAAGCCGACGGCTTTTATTTTGCTTTGTATAAAAGCGGTCACATCATTGGATGTGAGGTCAGGGGCTAGCCGCGAGACAAAAACTTGTCGCTTTGGTGGGACTCCTACCAGTGGTTTTGGCACCACAGGCCTAGTACCTGTGATGGCAGTATCCGGTGGTCCATCTATTAGCTGGTGGGAGCGAAACTGAGGGGATAGTTAAGGGGTTGGGTGCGGACTCGATGGACACGGACTCTACAGACATTTCTAACTGCATACTCTCCGAAGTGACGCATTCGGCTCCCGAATCTGCATCACCAGCAGCGATCGCTGCCCTTGGAGTAGCAAACGTAATCATCTGCTGCACTAAGGGAGTGGTCGAAGTAAGTTTTTCGGATGCCGGCGGACATGAGGCAGTCGGCACTTGCAAGTCCCGCGGAGTAGACTTCTTGTACTTGTAGACTTCTTGTCCATGGCCAAGAGCCGATCATATTGCTGTTTAAAGCCCACGAACACATGTCGTATTCCACAGCACGGCATTCCTCAGAACTATAATGTAGGCCGTTGTTTTGGGAAATGGCGTCTCCTACACGGCCCGAGATCCCTACACATTTTGCGTGCACTACGCTTTCGCAAAGCCAGAAGGGGATATTGGGCTGGTCATGGGTGATCTGTTTCTTGCAGGTTTTTTTGGCACAGACGACATATTTATGTCTTTTATTTTTTTTTACTTTGGGAAAAAAAAGTTCAAAACGAATAACAATCAGAACACTGTGCAGAGCAAATGCTTAGAGCAATGCTTAAAGCGGAATCGGTAAAAGATGAGAGAGGAGAGTGGTTGCAGTAACAGCTTATAAGTGAGAGCGTTACTGCACAAAAAGTTACAAGAGCGAGAGCGAAAGTACAGTTATTGAGAGTTAGGTGATAGAGAGAGTGATAGATGGCAATAACTACGACAAAGAGGGGCTAAATGTAATGAGAGGGCGTACTTACGAAAAGCAACAACAACAACAACCGACTCACAAAATTTATTAAATAAGTTATGTTTTTACACAATCATCAGGCATGCACCCGCCGTAAAAGTATGATTTTAATGTAAGTTAGTTAGAGAGTTAAATTATAGATAAAAAACACCGGCTGTTTAAGTTAAACAAAAGGAAAATGCGGAGCGCAAAACAAAAACACGTCTGGTCACTACGAAAGAGAACGAACGATTCATGAGCTTTTGGTTAGGATTTTGCTTGCTTTTTCCCACCTGATGGCTTAATGTTTGGGTTACCAACGCATTTTCCACATTCTCCATCATCCGGCAGCGCCTTTCCAGAAATGAAGTCATGGTGCTCCAATTTGACAGCTTGTTGATCGGCAAGTCTTTTTTCCATTTTTCCCGGGTCTTGGCATCCATCTTCTGTGCTACGATGTGAATGAGAACTCCATCTAAAATTTGCTCTGTTGATGCCAACGACCGAATTGCACGCAGATGAGCATTGATCTTATCGCTGAGCTCCCGAAGACTCCTGGCAGATCCCATCTCAACACAATGTAGCCCAAATATCGCCGTTACGTGTGCCTGGAAATGAAGGAGCTTGTTGTCGAAACGATTAGTAAGTAATTGTAAAGCTTTGGCATAGTTCGCATCGGATATTTCTAGGGAACATATGGTTTCTAGTGCTACCCCGTCCAGGCTAGCACGTAGATACTGGAATTTTTCCAAATTACTTAGCTCCTGCTCATTGTCCACCACGCTTGAAAACATCGAGAAGAAATCTGGCCAGTCTGCGTAGTCTCCACTGAAGCGCGTCAATACCAGATGCGGCAGCATTGACCTCCGTGATGAAGTGTTGAACGGAGTACTCCGGAAAAATGATGAGGCATGGCCGTTGAGTTTGCCTTGCCCAACTGCTTCTGCTGTGCAGCCAACTCGCGATTTAGTTTGGCATCCATCTCCAAATAAACCGCCGTAAAATCGGACCGCGCGTCGCCGTCGAGCACCATCAGATGGAGCCTTTCTAAGCTGGTCTGTGCAATGTTAAGTTCAGCGTACATTGTTTCATTATGCTTTATTCGCGCACGTAGATCAGCCTCGTCAAACTGAATTATAGAGTCATCGGTAATAAATGTGTTCATAGCCACGAGTTTGTGGCTGCAGGCAAAGCATGACCAATATCATGGTTTTTTGCCATTTTATTAGCGTCACAAGAAGTTCACACACAAATCAGAGGCACTACTTAAGTTTTCAAAGGCAAAAAATAACACCCTGTATGCGCGGGACAGCTGAAGATCAAGCGACGAAAAACCAACGGTTCGATTTTAGTTCTTCTTTTGCCTTAGCTTCTCAGGGCTTTGCACTGCGCTTGAACTACTAACACACGCGCAACAAAAACCGTTTCTGGGCGGGGTTATATAGGCTTTTTAACCGCGAACTTTTCACCGAACTACAGCCAACTGCTGGTAGTTGCACGATGTAGCAATCACTGCTTTGTATTTGCTTGCGCTTAAAAGTGTGTGTTTATATATAAAAACGAGAAATTGTCTTTCTATATATGTTGTACGTTTTAATTCTGTTTGTGGTTGGAGCTGCACTACTTCCATCTGCGCTCAGAAACTGCAGCAGCAGCCAAAAGCTCAGCGAGAGCGCAAGGTTTAGCGCGAGAGAGCTAACAGAGCGATAGACAATAACAAAACGTAGTACAACAAACAATTATGCTCGGTGGCATTTACTTACTTACTTACTTATTCTAATTATAGGCCGGTCTGCTCCGAACACTATGCTATATATATATATATACTATATATATAAAAATAAATCCATATTTCCCTTGGTCCCGGCATGACGCGTGAACGGCTAGACCGATTTCGCTAATTCTTTTTATGTTGTGTTGGTTATTTTCAGGAGAAGGTTTTAGGGTCTATAATCCCCGATATATTAGCTGCAAAAAACGTGAACAAATGGTTATAGCTTTGACAGAGACCTATCAGTAGAAAAACTAGCGCTGTATACGAAACACTTCGATCACATGATGCGTTGCAATATTTCTTTAATTTACAAAGGAATTTTTTTTAAATGCCAGCAATTAGACGTACAGACGTCGCATAACTCACAATTCTGCATGTCACAGATATAGATATAGTACGTCAAACAGACGAGCAACGCGAAGCGAGGAATGAAGTTGAACAGAATCGATGGAATCGAAATCATCAACAACATAGATATGTTGCTGTAGACCAGGGCTCGGCACGGCCCTATCCCATGGGTGCGGGACAAGGCGCTGCTGCTGCGCTGCCGGTACACCGACAGTATAAAAAAGCAGCGGCGCTTCGTATGGCTTCGGCAATGCGACTTCGGCACTTGTTGTCTCGTTTTCACACCAGATACAGAACGAAAATGGCATCAGTTGCTGATCAGCCGTCATCAATGTGAGACCACGCTACGCAACTACTGAAATATACACTGAGACAAAAAATGTTCGATGGGAATTGTTATGGTTTTGTTATTATTTTATTATTATTTTATTTACGTTTTCTTTTTTATAATTTTACTCAATTTTTTGTATTATTTTGCTTTAAACTTTTGTTTTTCTTGAAAGTTTCAACACGAAATAATTGCAGCATCAACCACAAATAGATTCGTGCAGTGTAAAGCAAGAAACCGGTTTCGGCGTAGGCATCTTCGTGTTTTAGCTACGCACACAAGCGCACTTCACTGTATGGGTGCCGAGCCCTGCTGTAGACCCCTATCGAGCTGCATTCAATTATAACACGGTAATAGATTACAGTTCACAGCAAATCGTTATTATTGGAAAAATGAACTTTGTGTGCCAATACTGAAAGGCATTTACGTTTAAAAATGAAGCTACTGGATTGTGTTGCGCGAGCGGTCAAGTCATTGGTAATGGAAAATACCTGTTGACACATTTTCATTTCCTACCAATTTTTGTAACTTTACTGAAACTAAGACACAACTCATCGAGAAGGCTCATTGCTCAAAATTTTAAAAATTATCTATGGTTCAGCGAAAGAGTTATATTGGCTGCAAAAAACCTTGATGTAAACGAATTTCCAAATTCAAAATAATATAGCTGGCGAATTAATAACATACAAATCGATTGATTCCGTTACTAACCAAGATGATGTTGTCAACTATTCAACGGAGTTCTTAAATTCGATGGAATTGCCCGGACTACCACCTCATAATCTGCAACTAAAAATCGGATCGGTAATTATTATGTTGCGGAATATAAACCAGCCACTTCTTTGTAATGGCACCCGACATGCGGTGATGAAATTAATGAACAACGTCATCGAAGCCACAATTTTGAAAGGGCAATATAAAGGAGAAGACGTTTTGATTCCACGGATTCCTTTGATTTTGAACGACATGCCATTCGACTTTAACCGGTTACAGTTTTCAGTGAGGCTAGCATTTGTAATGTCAATAAATAAATCGAATGGCCAGTTATATGTCGCCTGTTCCCGAGTCGGAGTACCAACCAAACTAGAAAGAGAAAATAGAAAAAAACAAAGAATGTTGTTTATCATAAAGAATTACAATAATAAACACTTTCTTTCTGAAATATTGTTTAGTTAATTATACCAATTCGAAATCAATATTTATAGTTAAGACAGCACAACGTCTTTCGGGTCCGTTAGAATTGATTTTCATGTGGACCAAACGGATAAAAAGACGCAGCTGAAAATTTAGTTTACTGTCGGAAAATCGACAGATGGTTCGAGACGAAGGATGTCGATAGCTTGAATTCCATTATTCAAGATCAAATCGCTGGAGAGCTGCATTCATACAATAAATCGAAAACCAATCTTTGATAGTCTGTTGGATTAATCAATGTGGAGTTTATCTGAAGGCGTTAAAATGGGCCGATATAACGTTCGCCGGTTCCGCTAGTCATATATACATATATATATCAACATTTGACCACAATATACACAGGTATTTATGTATATCAATACACAATAAGGCTTAGGTATAAGGAATAAAAGTAACTGTCCACAACATACAACAACTGTAAATGTTGTGGACAAGAACAACTGTAAATGTTGTGGACAACAACAACTGTCAATTTTGTGGACAACAACGACTGTAAATGTTGTGGACAGTTACTTTTATTACTTATACCTAAGCCTTGGTGTTGATAGATATACACAAATCTCTGTAATGGTCAAATGTTGACTTTTTTCTTTCACAGGTGGTGGTCCCGCACAAATTATACCTTTTGCACTTATACCTATTCATAGAAAAGGATATATAACTCTGTACCTATAGTATCACTGCCTCAGTGTAATTTTGATTTCCATCAGAATACGATCGTGTGTGTTCAAAAAATAATACTTGTTTCTAATTGAAAACAATTGAAATGGATAAATCAATCAATTCATTTTCATGTGTTTACAAAGCATACTAATTTTGCTACATATGTGGAAACTATATGACCAGCAAGGAAGAAAAATTCGGTTTTACCGAAAAGTTGCAAGAACATTTGAAGAAGACTTGAAATTGCAAATAGTGTAAATTGAATTTAACAGCATTTAAAAAAGACGAAAAGTAAGTTACCCTAAATCACAAGCTATTAAGTGTACAAAAAATATTGAACATTATTTTTTTCTCTTACAAATTTTTAGAAAATAATTTCAATTTGGATCTGCAATGTTGTGGAGAAAACCAGAGATTCACGGCTCGGAATGTTTCGTTTGTTCATTCAAAATAACTAGAATCGGGAGATCCAAGAAACGGGGTTACCCAAACAATCTGGTCAGGGCTTTACGCTTCCTGCTCCTCCTTTAGAGGAAATACCGCCACTAAAACGCAAAAAAGAGGAGATGTCGCCTTCGTCGCATGGAACATTCAACCAGGATAAATATTGCAAGTCTATTTCACAGGAACGATTGAACGATTTGGTGAGGATCCTGGATATTCCTAAAAGTAAAGCCGAGCTTCTTGGATATTTTTTAAAGGATTCCCTTTTATTGAAAGAAAATGTCAAAATAACTCATTTCCGGACGCGTCATTTGGTTCACGCACAATTATATGACGAAGGGTGACATGTGCGTTTGCCATGACATTTTCGGACTCTTCAAGCAACTGCAAGCATTAAACAAGTTTAAAGGCTTTTTTGTTACACAATGGGAACTAACAGCCGTCTGTTCCCATCGCCCATGCTGTTAATATGAAGGAAACATCAAACAATGGCTAAATTGTGACTTAAAAGTCGTAGCCATGTTAACGGTTTTGCAAGGTGTTTACACAAAACACTGCTGCTTCCTGTGCCTATGCACAGAACTAGAACTAGAACTAAGCATTACTCAAGAAAACTTTTTGTTAAAGTACTTGTGATGATTGCGCTAATATCGTCCAAGACCTAATTGAGAATTATGAACAAATTCGGGCCAACATGTCACTAAAAATCCATTTCCTGCACTCCCACTTGGACTTTTTTCCGACAAACCTAGGCGACGTAAGTGATTTCATCTACAATTAAAATCTATCTAACAACGTTATCAAGGTTTTTGGAATGAGAACATGATTGGCGACTATGTGTGGAATCTCATAAAAGAATCTGGTTCGAATGAAAAGGAAGACAGCCAGAAAACTTAAATTATTTAAAAAAATGTTAACAAGCATTAGCAAACCAAATGTATCACTTATGTTTAAAAACTTGTTACGAACTTCTTGGTGGTGGGGCAAGGCCGGCTAGCCAGTCATCCCAGGGCTGGATACTTCCCAAGCCCTCAGTTCGCACAACAAACCAAACAAATCGAGCATCTCGGACAATATTTGAAACGGCTACAACAAAAACGGAAACTAACGTAACGACACATCAAAAATAAACCATACAGACGCTACTCGACAAACAATCTCCTACCGCTACGTGGACCAGGTTGAGGTGTTGGTGTTGTACCTCCGACGTACCCACCCTACCAGAGATCCGGATCCGACTATCTCGGGTCTCCCTGCCATGTGCAGCATCTTCTTCATCCTCCCGTAGTATCGGTTCGCTTTCCCCCCATTTTAAATCTTTAGCACTTCATCTTTTCGTATATTTTCACCTTAAATCAAATTTTACACACATTCTTTTTATATTCTAATAGCTCCTATCTGGTTTAGGTCGACATCCTAATCCCCATCCTAATCTCTTCCTTTCTGAGACCTAAATTATGGGCATGGGCGTATTATGTTAAATATGATTAAATAAATAAATAATTATAAATAGGGACAATTACATATATAATAACAAATAAATAAATAAATAAATATAATTAAAGGTAAATAAATAAATAAATGTATAAACAGATATGTAACGGCCTAGTGGGTTCTAAAGTATGTGTATATATTTAAATGGGATTTGTTATATGTTAGCAACATAAGTATTATTTCACGATCCATTGAAATGTATTCACATACACACTAACACTACCTCACCCGAATGTATGTATGCTCAGAGAGCGCTTGAGAGAGTAATAAAGTCAGTTCGATTTTAGTTCTCACCCTGAACACAACGTTTTCTCCATACCGAAACACAACATTTTGGCGACGAGGATAAAACAACAACAATGGATAGAAATTCCACAGACATAAGTGCATTGTTGGCTCAACAGCAACAATTCACAGAAAAGTTAATGCAACAGCAACAACAATGGATGGAAGCCATGCTCGCACAAAACAATGGTGTTAATAGATCAGCAGAATTAACAGCTTGTCCGCCGTTCCCAAATTTTAATAAGGATCAACAAAATTGGGAGACGTATTTACAACAAATTTCGCAGCATTTCGCCGCGTATTCCGTTACCTCCGTCGAGAAACAAAAAGCATATCTTCTATCGTGGGTAGGCTCAAAAGTTTTTGAACTTGTAAAAAATCTGTTTGGTAGCGAACATTTGGAGCAGCAGTCATATACACAAATCACAGACAAATTATCGGAGCACTTCAAACAGAATCGTCACATTGTTGCTGCTCGATATGAATTTTTTAAACGTCAGATGCGGGACTCACAATCACATAAGGAATGGGTAGCTGATCTACGTGGTATAGCTCGTGAGTGTCAGTTTGCTTGCAACGCCAATGGGTGTACATACAATTATGTTGACGAAATGATACGCGATCAAATAATTGTACACACGCCATTCGAAGCCGTACGCACAGCCGCTTTGCAAAAGCTTCAGCCTTCCCTCGCTGACGTACTCGCAATTGCCGAAACGTACGAGGCAACAACGAAAACAGTCGCGGTCATAAAGGAGAGAGAGAACAAAGCACTGGACATGAACGCTGTATACACACATAAGCAACATCAACAGAAACGAAGTGGTATGGAAACAAAAGAAGGCAAGAACACTCTCAAATCTTGCTCCGGTTGTGGAAACACGCACACTCGTGAAAATTGTAAATTTCGCGAGGCTACTTGCCATAAATGTGGAAGAAAGGGACACATAGCTGTCGTTTGCATGTCAAAGCAGTGCAAAGATATGAAAGAAAAAACCTGGAAAGAGTATGATCACCAAAAATACCAAAACAAAGCAAAACATGCAGAATCAGTTCAAACAATTCACATCGTGTCAAACCTGGTGCAGTTGGATGGAAATAAAAATTTAATCGACCTGCAAATCTTCAACGAAATCATTTCTTTCCAAATGGATTCTGTCGCAACTGTGTCTGTTATGAATTTGAAAACTTACAAACAACTCAAAAGTCCAAAGCTGCGGAAGTGTGATCGCATTTTGCATGCATTTGGCCAACAACAAATCCCCGTGCTGGGTGAATTGCACACTGTGGCAAATTGTGGCAATAAATTGGCAAATGTTGTCATAATCGTGACAAATGTAGAAAACTCAAACAATCTGTTCGGAATGGATTTGTTTCAGACATTCAATTTCGAAATTCAACAAATTTCAAATGTGAGTCAAGTGCAGGGTTCTCAAAGGACTGATCTTTGTAACAAGTACAAAGAAGTATTTGAACCGGCTATCGGTACAATAAAAAACTTTAAGGCAAGCATCTACTTAAAGCAAAATTTCGTGCCGAAATTCTACAAAAGCAGACCAATTCCATTTGCTCAAATGGAAAAGTTCAAGGAGGAAGTTAAGCGTCTCACAGATGCCGGTATTTGGAAAGCAGTCAAATTCAGCAACTGGGCATCACCAATAGTACTAGCACCCAAGCCAGGTGGAGCACTACGGATCTGTGGCGACTTCAAACAAGGTGTCAATTCACAATTGGACATCGAGCAATATCCACTGCCAACACGTGAGTCTTTATTACATACGATCCGTCACGGCACCCATTTCTCCAAAATCGACTTGAAAGACGCATATCTTCAAATGGAGTTAGATGATGCGGCAAAAGAACTTATGGTCGTCAGCACGCCATTGGGTCTCTTCCAATACCAACGTTTACCATATGGAATAGCGAGCGCTCCAGCTATATTCCAGCGTCATCTTGAACAACTTCTGAGTGGCATAGAAGGTTGTGGAAATTACCTAGACGACATAATAATCTCAGCTCCAACAGTTGAGCAGCATCTTGCCCGCCTCGAACAAGTTTTACGCATTCTACGAGAGAATGGCATTAAATGTAAGAGGGAGAAGTGTTTCTTCTTGAGAGACGAAATTGAGTATCTCGGAAGAAGAGTAAGCATCAAGGGCATCCTTCCGGATACCTCGGGACTAGAAGCTGTGAAGCAATTTAAACCCCCCATTAATCTACAGCAGCTGGATGCTTTCATGGGAAAAGTTAACTACTACTGCAATTTCATCCCCAATTTTTCTCAGCTAGCGTCTCCGCTCAATCAGCTTCGAAGGAAGAACGTAGTCTTCAAATTCGGTCGGAGTCAGCAGCAGGCTTTTACAGCTTTAAAAGCACACATTCTCAACGCTACAGAACTAGCAAATTTCAACGAGCATCTACCGCTTGTTCTAGCCACCGATGCATCTTCATATGGCATTGGTGCGGTATTGTCACACACTCAAGCAGATGGTAAGGAAAGACCAATAGCATTTGCATCTAAAACCTTAGATGTCCACCAGGTTCGATACAGCCAAATAGAAAAGGAAGCACTTTCGATTGTATTTGGGGTAAAGAAATTCCATCAGTACCTTTACGGCAGAAAGTTTATTCTCATTACGGATCACAAGCCATTGGTCACGATATTCAACCCAAGCAAGCATCTGCCTACGATGACTTCAAACAGGCTTCAACGTTGGGCTATAATCTTGATGGCATACAACTTTGAAATAAGGTATCGCAGCACCACAGCTCATGGAAATGCAGACGCACTCTCACGTCTTCCTATCAGCTCGGATGAAAAGTTCGACACAGAAGAGGCATGCTACAATGTCGTCGAGATGTCATGTCCAATAAATGCCGACATAATCTTGCAACATCTTCAAAACGACCGTACTCTAAAAAAGGTCTATCAATTCGTATCTACTGGTTGGCCAGAACAACAGCAGGATCTCGAAATGTTGCCATATTATAATCGTAGATTCGCCCTGACGATTAACAACAAGCTACTATGTCTCCATTCTGACGTAAATAGAATCATCATTCCTCAAACACTACGGAATAAGATTGTAAATATCCTCCACGAGGGTCATTGGGGAATAGTACGCATGAAACAACTGGCACGACAGGTGGCCAGGTATCGACGATGATATCGCAACAATTGCAAAGGATTGTAGCGTTTGCAAGATAGGCAATCCAGCCCCAGTAAAGGAATTCCAGAGCTGGCCAAAAACGACATCCGCCTGGGAAAGAATACACATCGACTTTGCCGGTCCTATATTTGACTCCATGTGGTTAATTTGCGTCGATGCACATTCTCAGTTTCCGTTCGTAGTACAAATGACAGCGACAACAACAGAAAACACTATAGCCGCACTTACAGCCATTTTTGCCATTGAGGGTTATCCTAAAACTTTAGTCAGTGATAACGGGCCTCAACTTACATCCGACTCGTTTAATCAGTTCTGTCAGCTACATGAAATAAGCCACATCACAACCGCCCCATTTCATCCAGCATCAAATGGACTTGCTGAGCGCTTCGTCCAAACATTCAAAACGTCCGTCAGCAAAAATATAAAGGATGGATATCGAGTCAACACAGCCGTAACAAAGTACCTCAGAACGTATCGTTTCACACCTAACTCTGAAGGAAAAACACCTGCAGAACTTCTTCATGGTCGTCCGGTTCGAACGATCTTAAGTCAACTCTTCGAGAAGAGATCTGAAGGCTGCAGACGCAGCAAACAAAGTATTCTCCTAATCAGAAAGTTTTTGCCAGAAACTATGCAAGGGGAGAAAAGTGGATAAAAGCTATCATCGATCGGCCTATAGGTCGTATGTTATTTATCCTTCGTTCATCCACAGGTTTCATCAAGCGCCACATAAACCAGATAAAGCCAAGATCTGACCCTGATAACTGCAGCTCCAGCTACAACGAGGACAACAATAAGTTTTGGTGGGCTCCTGAAGTCTCAAGTTCGCCCGCAACTCCGACGACACTAACCCAAGAAGAAGAACCGTCATCCGATCCAGTACAGAATTCTCAATCTATTGCTGGCTCCAACGAAGTGCCTGCAGCATCTACACAAAACGTTCTACAACAACCCCAACAACGACGTTCGGGTATCCCCATCCGTAGCAGCACTCGCCAACGCAGAGTCCCCAGCCGCTACTCACCTTAGCCTTAGAGGAAACGTAAAAATCATTAACAAACCGTAATTTAAGGGGAGAGATGTGTTATATGTTAGCAACATAAGTATTATTTCACGATCCATTGAAATGTATTCACATACACACTAACACTACCTCACCCGAATGTATGTATGCTCAGAGAGCGCTTGAGAGAGTAATAAAGTCAGTTCGATTTTAGTTCTCACCCTGAACACAACGTTTTCTCCATACCGAAACACAACAGGATTTAATCAAATCTTTGCTGGAAGACGGGGACGATATTCTGGGGTCCACTTCCAGGCCGGGCGAAGGACCATGCCGCTGTGGACAGGACGGCGGAACTGAGCACAGTTCTTAGTGAATTTACAAAAAAAAAAAAATGGAGTGTAAATTGGGATTTTTCTCCCCCATTGGAACGGACTCACTTTGTTCCTGTTTTTTTTTGTTTTTTCAGCTTTGCTCGTCTATCTGCCTCCGATCCGTCCCGCTAGGCAGCTCTACTTCCTCCTTGCTATTCGAGGAAAACGCAAAACAAAAAAATTCACTTTGAGTGATGACCACTACCCATCCATTTCACTCACTTAATAATTAATTTTTTTATTTTTTTGAGAGCCCGATCCGTAAAACGATTTTTTATACCCGTACTCAAAAATGAGTTAAGGGGTATATTAGATTTGTGGTAAAAGTGGATGTGTGTAACGCAGAGAAGGAAACGTTTCCGATCCCATAAAGTATATATATTCTTGATCAGCATCAATAGCCGAGTCGATAGAGCCATGTCTGTCTGTCCGTCTGTCTGTCTTGTTGATCGCCTAGATCTCAGAGACTATAAGAGCTAGGGCAACTAAATTTGGTTTCCAGACTCATGTGACTCAGGTTTCCACTGCTACAAGTGTATTTCAAAATTTCGCCCCGCCCCCTTCCGCCCACACAAAGAACGAAAATCTGTGGCAGGCACATTTTTAAAGATACGATAAAACTAAAAACGCAGTATCGTAAAGAATGACCATATCTACCAGACTGCCGAATCTGAATCAGATCGGATCATAATCATAGCCAGAATGAAGAAATTAATTTTCTGTTGCTTCCCCTGCCCACTCCTGCCAACGACAACGAAACTCATTTCCTTCTCGCTCGCACACTCTGCCGCGTTCAGTGCGCGAGCAACCCCTAGGGGAGGAGATGTAGAATATGAATGGTACATCTATAATCTACATGTTAGATATAGAATATACATTGTCTATGTAGATGTATATAGCAGATGTAGCAAAAAAATGTAAAATGTAAAATTTTTTTTTAATGCTAAAATTCTAAAAAATCATATGTTCAAAAATGTAAATACAGATCAAAAAAATCGTTGGCGGAAGACAGAACAAAAACGAGAAGGAACGTGTGAGTCGCTTCTAAAGACGCGACTCTACTTATACCCGTACTCAGTCAGTATTTACATTTTTGAACATATAATTTTTTAGAATTTTAGCATTAAAAAAAAAATTTTACATTTTACATTTTTTTGCTACATCTGCTATCTACATCTACATATACAAGTATATTCTACATCTAACATGTAGATTATAGATGTACCATTCATATTCTACATCTGCATCTCTACACATCTCTACACTGAACGCGGCAGAGTGTGCGAGCGAGAAGGAAAATGAGTTTCGTTGTCGTTGGCAGGAGGGGGCAGGGGAAGCAACTGAAAATTAATTTCGTCATTCTGGCTATAATTATGATCCGATCTGATTCAGATTCAGCAGTCTGGTAGATATGGACATTCTCTACGATACTGCGTTTTTAGTTTTATCGTATCTTTTAAAATGTGCCTGCCACAGATTTTCGTTCTTTGTGTGGGCGGAAGGGGGCGGGGTGAAATTTTGAAATACACTTGTAGCAGTGGGATATCACATGAGTCTGGAAACAAAATTTGGTTCCCCTAGCTCTTATAGTCTCTGAGATCTAGGCGCTCAACAAGACAGACAGACGGACAGACAGACATGGCTATATCGACTCGGCTATTGATGCTGATCAAGAATATATATACTTTATGGGGTCGGAAACGTTTCCTTCTCTGCGTTACACACATCCACTTTTACCACAAATCTAATATACCCCATAACTCTTTTTTGAGTACGGGTATAAAAAATACCAGTTTTCAAAAATTCTTTAATAGTTTTGCCATAGAAAAAAAAAATCATCAAACCATTTCTAAGCCCCAAATCTTTAAGAAAAAGTTGGTTTTGTTCCTTGAGGAAAAACCGTGTCGGGTAGTGTAATCAGACTGATCTACACAAGGCCATGGTTCTCCACAAGCAGCGGTGTGGCAGCAACTCCGGAAAATAAAATAGTCTTAAGCATTACACACAATTACTCAAATCAGCTTAACCCATTAAGCGCCGAGTGTCTTTAAAACCAGAAATTTTGAAATCCATTCTTGTTATTTAGTTAATAGGAACATAGTGAACACAAAATTATAATTTCATAAAAAAAATTAAATCAGTTTTTTTTTTTAATTTTTTATTCGGCTGCAATGACAAAATATGGGGGTCACACAGTGATGTGATAAATATTAATATTAGGTTATTTAAGGTTGACGCGGCTGTCGGGATCGTCAGAGACCCGACACACCTAGGCCGGTTTCGGCCCATTGTGATACCGCATAGATCGTTCCCTCTTCCCTCGTCAGACACTATGTTATCCATTGTCCCATCCGGATGCCCTTATGAAGCCTGCGATCCGTCTGGGACTGATTGTAGACAGGAAAGGTGCGCCCAAGTATTGAAGTCACCACAAATCAACCGTCAACGACTACAGACGTATTTTTTAATCGCTCCGCGGTGAAAATTCAATTAAATTAATTAATCGCGATTAATCATAAATTAAATTCGCGAAAAAAGCGCTCGGGGTAGGCATGGGTACTAGCGATCGTGCTGCCCATGAATACCATCCAATCGAGTAATAAAGACTAATAGAAATAATAAAAAAGAACAAAAGTCAACGTTTAAGAGCACCAGCTCGGTAAAGAGCACAAGCACTGTAAGCAAAGCCAAAATGAGCCAAGCCCGGCAACAACAACAAGACGAGCGTCGGCTCTCGCAAGCAAAAAACAACGCGTACTTCTCTTTACGCTCGCCAAAGGCAGCAGTACCAACAAAAACTGCATCATTGCAAGTGAACGAGGAGAGAGCACGCTCTCTCTCCCCTGCATTGCAAAGTGGGTCATGGAGTGCTCAGTGCCCATCCCCCGACTCGTACTGCCTAACCAGCGATTTGCTAATATCGACAACAACTAGTACAATGCCCTCGCTCAAAACTCTGTCTTCGACCACAACAACCACAACAACCACAACAACAACCACTGCAATTGCTCAGTGCCCGATAATGTCGACCCACTGCGACAACCCCACCTCTCCCAACCAATAAGTTCAAAAAATGCTAACGGAGCGTTAATTCAGACTGGGCTCGATCGCTATGTGCAAATCAAAAGAAAATTGAGCCCACAAAATGTGAAGAACAACAATGCAGCCAAAATAACTAAAATAACCGAGAACACTGTGCCACATAAGGCACTAGCAAACAATAGATTTGCGATACTAAGTGTCCCAAATGAAGATGAGATCACCCAAACACACAAGGCCAAAAAACTAAGACCGCCACCTATTTATGTTCGACAGGCAAATTGTGCTGAACTGGTCAAAAAAATAACTGATACAATTGGCGCAAACACATTCCATGTCACGTACATAAAAAGGGGTAATATAAATGAAACAAAAATACAAGTCAATGACGAACAAAACTATCGATCAGTTGCGAAATACCTCGAAAATGAAAAAATGAATTACTACACCTACCAACTTAAAAGTAGCAAAGGATTACAAGTGGTTATCAAAGGAATCGAACCAACAGTCCCAATCAATGAGATAATAGATGGACTTAACGATAAGGGCTTCGAAGTCAAAATGGCAATGAACATAATAAATAGAAACAAAATTCCCCAGCCAATGTTCAAAGTAGAACTGACACCTGAAAGTATGCATATAAGTAAAAATGAAGTTCACCCAATATACAAGCTTCAATACCTACTGCACCGTAGGATCACCGTTGAGGAACCACACAAACGAAATGGACCGGTCCAATGCACAAATTGCCAGGAATATGGACACACGAAAACCTATTGCACTCTACGGGCAGTCTGCGTTGCCTGTGGTGATGTTCATCTCACTGAGGCCTGCCCCGTAAATAAGGAGGACCCATCTGCCAAAAAATGTAGCAACTGTGGGGGAAACCATACTGCCAACTATAGAGGTTGTCCTGTCTATAAAGAATTGAAAAATCGCCTAAACCAACAAATAACTGCAGCTCGTAACCCGGTCGTCCGACAAAACTTAACATATATACCATCAACTACGACTCCAGGAGTTTCTTTTGCTCAGGCGTTAAGTTACAACAACGGGTCGTACGCCTCAGTCTCTAAGCCGACACTTCAACCAACCACAGCTGGAATAATGCACAATCAGGCTTCAAATCAGATCCCAGAAATCTCTGCCCAACATACCCCTGCTAATCCATCCCAATTGCCTAGTGGAATTGAGTCAATGCTGGTAACTATAACAAATACAATGGTAGCAATACAACAAACGATGCAGGAGCTTATGCGCAACCAAAATCTCCTCCTGGAGCTCCTAATCAAACAGAAATCTGTTTAAATGTCCTGTCTAAATATATGTTTCTGGAATGCAAATGGCATTTCTCAGCACAAATGCGAGCTCTTACAGTTCCTCGCTCAACACGACATTGACGCCATGCTCATATCAGAGACTCACCTAACAAATAAAAACTATTTTCACCTCAATGGCTACAACTTCTATGCGACAAATCATCCCGATGGTAAGGCACATGGAGGTACTGGCGTTCTGATCAAGAATCGCATTAGGCATTATCCATTGCCTTCATTTGCTACACCTTATCTACAGGCAACAGCAATTCATATTGAAATTCAGAGCGGCTACCT